CCGTCATGGGGCCCTCTTGGGGGCCTCTATCTTGGGGGCCTCTTGGGCCGTCTTGAGCCGTCGGAATGCCGAGAAGAAGCACATTCCAAAATCCTTCAAAAACCTATGGAAAATCAATGATTTTGGCCACTTCGGGCCCTCCTGGAGGAACTCTTGGAGGCCTCTTGGGCCGTCTGGGAGGCCTCTGGGGGGCCTCTTGGGCCGTCTTGGGCCGTCTTGGACTCTCTGAGGCCGTCTTGGAGGCCGTCTTGGACCATCTTGGGCGGACTTGGAAGCCATCTGGGGCCGTCTTGGAGGTCATCCTGGCCGTCTTGTGTGGCCGAACGTTGAGGCCAGATCGGACCATGTGTTCCCCGAATCGGTTTGGAAAGCTTTCGGGGAACACGTGGGCGTCTTGAGGGTCATGTTGGCCGTCTTGGAGGGCTCTTGGGCGATCTTTCGGCGATCTCTGGGGGCTCTTGGGCCGTCTCGGGCTGTCGGAAGGCCGAAAAGAAGGAAATGTCAAAATCCGTCAACAACCTACGGAAAATCAATGTTTTTTGGCCTCTTCTGGCCTTCCTGGAGGCCCTCTTGGGGGCCACTTGGGCCCTTTTGGGCCAGCTTCGAGCCAACTTCGGCCATCTTGGTGGGTTCCTGGCACGTCTGACGCCGTCGGGAGCCGTCTGGGGGGCCTTTCTGGGCCAACGGGGGACCCTCTTTGGGCGCTTCGGGGCCGTCTTGGAGGCCATCTTGGGCGTCTTGGAGGCCATCTTGGGCGTGTTGGAGGCCTCTTGGGCCGTCTTGGGGCCCTCTTGGGGCCATCTTGGAGGCCACTTGGGCCGTCATGGGGCTCTCTTGGGGGCCTCTTTGGCGATCTTGGGGGCGTCTTGGGCCGTCTTGAGCCGTCGGAATGCCGAGAAGAAGCGCATTCCAAAATCCTTGAAAAACCTAAGGAAAATCAATGATTTTGGCCTCTTCGGGCCCTCCTGGAGGACCTCTTGGAGGCCTCTTGGGCCGTCTGGGAGGCCTCTGGGGGGCCTCTTGGGCCGTCTGGGGCCCTCTTGGACTCTCTTGGGCCGTCTTGGAGGCCGCCTTGGACCAACTTGGGCGGACTTGGAGGCCATTTTGGACCATCTTGGAGGCCATCTTGGGCCATCGTGGCCATCTTGGAGGCCATCTTGGAGCCGTCTGGGGCAGAAACTTGGGGCCGTGGAAAAAATCCCGGGACCCCGGCGGGACGGGCCGAAACCCACTGGGAGAGTTCTTTTGGAAAAAGAACCAAAACCAAAACCGAGAGGGTCTGGCACGCCGGGCACCCCTTTGCTGAAGCAGAAGGGGGCGGCGGATACAATGGCCTTTCGGCCCATCCCGCCACCGTGCTTGGGTTGTGGGTAAGAGTTCTCGGGGATGCTTCTTCAGGTCTCTTGGGGGCGCTCTCGGAGGCCTCTTGGGGGCCGTTTTGGGGCCTCTTGGGGGGCTTCTTGGGGCCTCTTGGGGGCCTCCTGGGGGTGTCTTGGGGCCTCCTTGGGCCAGTTTTGGGGCCTCTTGGGGGCCTCTTGGGGGCCTCCTGGGGGCCTCCTGGGGGCCTCTGGGGGGCCTCCTGGGGGCCTCCTGGGGGCCTCTGGGGGCCTCTCGGGGCCCCCTCGTGGCCGAGGGCTCGAAGTGATCCTTCGAGACCCCCCATCTGGGTCCCCGTCTTGGGGCCGCCCTGGGGCCCTCTTGGGGCCGCCTTGGGCGCCTCTGGGGCCGTCTTGGGGGCCTCTTCGGGGCGCCGCCCGGCCCAGGCGGCCTTGGCGCCGTGCGCCGCCCCTCCGCGCGCCGGTCCGGCGGCGGGAGCGGAGGGCGCAGTGCGGCGGCGAGCGCCAGGCGGGCCGACGCGGCCAGCCCGGCCGGCTCGGCCCCGCCGCGGCGCGGCGAGGCCACGGGGCAGCGGGGCCCACTGCGGCCCGCCGGGTCGCCGGGCCGCGCCCAGGCGCTGTTTTTCTTGGGGCCCTCTCGGGGGCCTCTGGGGCCGTCTTGCGGCGATCTTGGGGGCCTCGTGGGCCGCCTCGGAGCGTCGAAAAGCCGGAACGGCGAGAACGCCAACAACTTTCAAGGTCCGCAGGGACATCAGCGATTTGTGCCTCTTGGGGCCCTCTTGGGGCGCCTCTTGGAACACTCTTAGGACGTCTTTGGGAGCCTCGTGGGCCGTGTTGAGGCCATCTTGGGCGTGTTTGGGCACTCTTGGGCCTTCTCGGAGGCATCTTCGGCCCTTTCGGTTGCTTTTGGGCCCATGTTTGGCCGGCTGCGCTACCGGAGGACGCGCGCGAGGATTCCAGAGATGCTCTTGAGATGCTCAGAAGAAGCTTTTGAGAGGCCCTTGAGAGGAGAGGGCCTGGAGAGGCCCCGAAGGGCTTCGCGAGAGGCTCCTGATATGCTCTTGAGGTGCTCTGAAGGGCCCCGGTGGTCAGGTCTTGAGAGGCTTCCGAAAGGCTTCAAGATAAACTCTTGAAGAGCTCTGGAGGGCCCCGTGAGAAGCTCATGATCATCTATTGAGTCACCCTCCCGATCGGCTACCAAGTGTTGAGGGTCTGGAAGGTGGCCCCGAGTGGCTCTTAACAAACTCTGGTGGGCCTTCCGAGAGGATCCTGAGAGGATTTGTAAAGATCTTTGGAAAGCCTATGATCTGACAAATTTATAGAGAGGCTCTTGGGAAGCTCTCAACTGGGGTCCTGAGAGGCTCTCGAGTGGCTCTCGGTGTGCTCTGAGTGACCTCATCCGAGTTTCTCCCAACCATCCTGTGGTGTTGGGTCCTCGTTTTGAAGAGACAGCGCCCCGCGTCCCACCTCCTCCTCCTCCTCTCCTCCCCCTCCCCTTCCTCCCCTCCCATCACCATCATCATTATCCCCTCCCTCTCCCCACACCATCGTCACCATCATCACCATCCATCCCCTTCCTTTCCCCACACCATCGTCACGTCCCCCCCACCCAGGACAGCGTTTCGGGGCCCCACAGGGAGCTCCACCGAAGGCTCCCGTGGGGGTGTTCGCATGCGTCCCCCCCGCCCAGGACAGCGTTTCGGGGCCCCATAGGGATCTCCACCGAAGGCCCCCGTTGGGGTGTTCGCATGCGTCCCCCCCCCACCCAGGACAGCGTTTCGTGGCTCCATAGGGAGCTCCACCGAAGGCCCCCGTGGGGGTGTTCGCATGCGTCCCCCCCACCCAGGACAGCGTTTCGTGGCCCCACAGGGTGCTCCACCGAAGGCTCCCGTGGGGGTGTTCGCATGCGTCCCCCCCGCCCAGGACAGCGTTTCGTGGCCCCATAGGGATCTCCACCGAAGGCCCCCGTGGGGGTGTTCGCATGCAGCGTTTCGTGGCCCCATAGGGATCTCCACCGAAGGCCCCCGTGGGGGTGTTCGCATGCGTCCCCCCCGCCTAGGACAGCGCTTCGTGGCCCCACAGGGAGCTCCACCGAAGGCCCCCGTTGGGGTGTTCGCATGCGTCCCTCCCACCCAGGACAGCGCTTCGTGGCCCCATAGGAAGCTCCACCGAAGGCCCCCGTGAAGGTGTTCGCATGCGTTCCATGGTCATGATGAGGATGAAGACGGTGGGGGGGGGAGAGGGGGAGGGCAAGCACAAAGGCCAGAAGCTTCTTGGACGCCTCTCGCAATCTCTTTGGATGTCTCTTAAGAGTTTCTTGGAGCCGCCTTGGGGCCTCGTGGGGGTTTTCGGGAATCCTCTTGCGGGCTTCTCGGGGCCTCTGACGGCCTCTTGGGCGCCTCTTGGATACTCCTGGGGCACTTTTCGGAGCCTTGCAGGCCCTCTTGAGGCCATATTGGAGGACGTCGACCATAGAAGGGGGGCTTCAAGTAGCACTGACGCTCCAGCGCCCCAGACATCGTGCCTTGGCCTTTTTGGGACGCTCTCCTGGGCGCTCTCGGGGCCGTAACTGGAGGCTCGGCCGTGTGGGCCATTAAAAATTAATGGGTGCTTCGTATTGACCTGAAGGCACCCCAGTCAGGCCACCCAGGCGCCGACCTCTTCCCATGCAGCAGCACTCCCCTCGGTGGCTCGCGGAAGGTACACCTGAGGGCACAGTCGCCCGGGAAACCACGAGGTGGTTGTGTTGGGCGGGGCGTCTGCGGCCGTTGTCGTGGCGCAGTTTATAGCAGGTATTGTGGCCCGAGAAATCGCCGTCTGGTGGTGTGGCGGTGGCGGGGTGTTTGCTGCAACCTGTGGCGCACTTCGTGGCGCTCAACCTGCGGAAACTCGTTAGGGAACTCGTCATTTGGGTGTGCTGGCGGGGTGTCTGCCATAGCCTGTGGCTCAAGCTACGGAAGGTAGAGCCACACCGTCATTTGGGTGTCTGGCGGGGGGTCCGTCGTTGCTTATGGCTCAACTTACGGAAGGTGGAGCCACTAGGAAAATTACGACCTGATGGTTTTGCAGAGAGGCTGGCGCAGCCTGATGCGCGCATTTTTGGGCGCAACCCGTGGCAAGTGCTGTTTACAGTCTCTTTTGTCGGCGGCGAGCCTGGGTGGGAGTGGAAAGGGGCGGGCCTTCTCAGAAGGCTCGGAAGGCCTCTGGCCTTCAGAGAAGTTTTCTAAGCTTTCCCCGAAGACACAGACAGCTTATCAGAAGGCCAGGGGGGTCTGAGAATCCCAGCCGCCTTCTCAGAAGGTCACTTCCCTCCTGGGCACGCCCTCTGGACGCCCTGGAGGTGTCAAAGCCGCCCGCACGCTTCGATCCAGTCCTGGAGGAAGACGGGGGGAGGAGGAGGAGGAGGAGGAGGAGGAGGAGGAGGAGGAGGAGGAGGAGGAGGAGGAGGAGGAGGAGGAGGAGGAGGAGGAGGAGGGAGGGAGGAGGAGGAGGAGGGGGAGGAGGATAACGCAGCATGCACATACACTTTCGGAGGTCCGCGCGGATTTCTTGGATCGGCGACGGAGCCTCATGGCGGCGCCAGGGAGTGGGGTCAGCGACGATCCAAGTCACCTGAGCGCACCTCCCAAAGTTTCTCTGTGTGCAGCTTTTGCTTCGCCTGAGGCACTCAGCTGGCCTACACTCCCATGCTCCACTCGAGGCTTTTCCGCGACTCGGCCAAGTACAGGCAGGAGCACTTCACCACCTGCCCGGAGGACAGGCCGCTCTTCGCGCAGTTCTGCGGCGACGACCCCGAGACTTGAAGAAGAAAGAGCACTGCATGAACATACACTTTGGGAGCTCCGCGCAGATTTCTTAGATCTGCGCTGGACCCCCTCCCTGGTGAGCGGAGCGTGCCAGGGGCGGCGCTGGAGGCGCTGCCATGGGGCCCCAGCGCGGATCCAGGAAGTCCGCGCGGAGCTCCGAACGTGCATTTTCATGCAGCTCTTTCGTCCTCCAGAGACCCTGGTGGCCGCCGCGCAGCAGCTGCCGGTCGGCTCCTGCGACGCCGTGGACCTGAACTTCGGTTGCCCGCCATGGGGGAAGCGGGTCCTGAGGGGAACGGGTCTTGTCGGGGGCGGAAAAGAGGGGGGTGATGACTAGGGGGGGGTGGATATCATGGCGTGGGCCATGGTATTTCCCCAGATTTCATGGCGCCCCTTCTTATTTCATGACGTCCCTGGCCCCCCCGCTGGGCCGCGCACATGCCGCCGGTCATGCTTTGCACCCCCCCCTCTTGGGCGCCCCCCTCTTGGCCGCTCCCGATCTTGAGGTCGTTCGCCGCTCTCGGGCTCTGGGGGCTCTCCAGGGGCCCCGGGGCGGAGGAGGACCTCGTCCTGGGAGAGAGCCCTTGGGGTCCAGGGCCCGCTTCCCTCGGGACATCGTCTCCCCCCATGCTCGGATGCCACTCCTGGGAGGTCACGTTCCGACTTTGCCCTGGTCCGAAATCCGACCGAATTCTGTTGAATCCCGCTGAATCCCGCCTGATCCGGCTTAATCCCGCTGAATCCCGCTCCATCCGGCTTGATCCGAGGCCCACTCTGGCGCAGCAGCCCCCCAATCGGGTTTGACCTTCTTGAATAATCTCTCGGACGAACACCTCTCAGGTGTTGCCTCCTGACCCATGCCCAGGCTGCCCGCAGGGCATCGCGCGCAAGGGGCACTACGGCGCCTACCTGCTCTCGGAGCGCGACCTCCTCGAGAGGATCGTGCGCGCGCTGGACGCGAGCCTGGCCGTGCCTGTCGCGGTGAAGATGCGGCTGGTGAACAAGCAGGATCCGGCCACAGTCGGGCCGGTCCCTCTGCAGGGGGAACATCCAAAGATAGTCAAAAAGTAGTCTGGGGACGATCTTTTGACCATCTCTGAGCATGCTTGGGGTATTTTTGCGTCTTTGTTTTTTCCCGTCCAAAATCCGCCTGTAGGGGGACAGGCCCGCTTGAAGGGTAGGGGGAGGGGGGAAGGCTTCGGGGAGAAATTGACCCAGACACCAGCAAGTGTCGGGGAAGCGGAGGGGGCTCCTGGGATCTGCATCTATTCCTTCGTGCGTCCCTGGGCCGCTTCCTCTCCGAAGCGCCCCTGCCTCTTGGCAGGCGCGGGCCTCCTCTGCAGGTGCAGGGCCCGCGCCCTCCGAGCAGCAGCCCCCCTCCGAGAGGCCCCCCCCCGCCTCTGCGCGGCCTCCCTCTGAGAGGCCGGCCCCTCTGCCAAGCAGGCCTGCCCTCCTCGTGTCGACTACACGTAAGAGCGACCCTTCGCCGGAGTGACCTTTGGTGCGGGCCCCTTGGGGTCCCCGATCTCCGAACGCGAGGCGGCGGTGGCGTCTTGCGCGCTCGTGTTTTGCCCCCCCGCGGCCCCCCAGAAGCCGCGCACCAAAGGTCACTCTTACCCAGGGTCACCCTTACGCGTAGCCAACTCGTGGCGCGCCGCCGGAGGACCTGCAGGACACGGTCAACCTCGCCTCGGCCCTCGAGGCCGCCGGCGCCTCGGTGGTCTGCCTGCACGGCCGCACGAAGGAGGAGAAGGGGCAGCACCAGGGGGGGGGTCAGAACACAGGGGGTCCGGGTCTGCGCTCGTCGGCCACGCGCGGAGGGAGTCTGATCAGTGTGCGCCGTCGCACTCTGGTCTTGTTGTTCGTCCCTGTCTTTTTCAGGGGCGGCGTTGCGCTGCGTCCTGCCCCCAGTGCTCGAATCGAGCGGCAGTGGAGCCTGAGCTCAACAAAGGGGGTCAAGTCGGGCACGTCCCTCTGCAGTCGGGCGAAGAGAGCTATGCACGTGCACCGATCCTGACAACGCCCATCCTTGACCCAGGATCGGTGCATGTACCTTCCTGGGCAAGGTAAGAGGGTGTATGCACCGATCCTGGGCTCAGGATGGGCCTGGCCAGAATCGGTGTATGTGCATAGTTCTCTTTCCTCTATACAGGAGGAAGAGTCGAAAGCAGTCAAAAAATGATGTGGTGGCGATCTCTCTTGCCTTTTGGATTCTTTTGGGGCAGCTTTTCATCCAAGCTCCGCCTGTAGGAGGACATGCCCGACCTACGGTGGGTAGACAAGAAGTGTCCACACCCATCGCGCCACTATGATACGACATCCAATTGCGTCGAACAAATATCCACTTGTATATTGCGATTACCGTTGCCATCAAGCCTGATTGTCTTCACGCCGTCGGCGTGGACACTTTCTCTCCAGGCACCGTAAGGGTAGGGGGAGTGGGGAAGGCTTCTTGGGTGGAGGCTGCTTCTTAGAAGGCGCGGGCCTTATCTGTAGGTGCAAGGCCGTCGCCTTCTAAGAAGCAGCTGCTTTCTAAGAAGCCTTCCCCCTCCCCCTACCCCTTGCGCGCGCCGCCAAGTTCGGTTCGGCCGAGTCCCTTCGGGTGTACGCCCGTGAGGCCCAAGCACTGACTTGACTGATTGTGGCTCTGGGACGGCAGTTCCACGACCGATCGGTCAGGTCGGTGCTCAGGTATACCCTGTTCCACTCGAGCCGATCCCCTGAACCCAGCGCTGACCTGACTGTTATTCTGTCCCCTGTCCAGAAAGGGTGCGATTGGGACGCCATCGCCGCTGTCCGAAGGCGTATCAGAGTGCCGATGATCGCGAACGGAGGTGTCCGGACCTACGAAGACGCGACGCGCTGCCTCGAGGTCACAGGATGCGATGCTGTCATGTCGTCGGAGGCTCTGTTGGAGAATCCGGGGCTCTTCGCCCCCAGCTCATGCAGCAGGGACAGCGGGAGGAGGTCCCTGCTGTTGCAGGAGGACCTCGCGTCCGAGTACCTGGAGCTCGCGAAGGCCCACGGCTGTCAGAGCAAGTGCGTCAAGGCGCACATGTTCCACTTCCTCTACGCCGCGCTCCAGCTCCACACCGACTTGCGCTCCCAGCTGGGGCAGGCCAAGGGCATCGACGAGATGGCCGCGGTCAACGAGGCACTCCGGAGGCGGCGCGCAGAGGACCGCGCCGGAGGCGTGCAGTGGCCGGAGACGGGCTGGTACATGCGGTACCGCGAGCCGCTGCGGTGCCCCGAGGAGAAGGAGCGGAAGAAGCGGAAGGCGCAGGACTTTGAGGGCGCCAACGGCACGCCCTGCACCGCTCCAGGCCAGGTCGACCTGCGTGGGCGGGAGGCGCACCTCCACGGCCACGGCCTCGCAGGCCCGGCCCCCGTGCCGCGACCCCAGGGACATGGTAGGGGGCCACGTGCGAACCCTACCCCCACCCCCCACGATTTCTGAGGGGGAGGGGGGGGGGTCCACTTCGCTCGGGAGCTCCCGAGCGAGGTGAACCCCCCCGCCTCAGAAGTCGTGGGGGGTAGGGGTAGGGTTCGCACGTGGACCCCCAGATGGGGCGCTCATCAGCAGATGGCCCGCGCGTATCCACGGGGTCGCGCTCTGGAGTCCGGACCGTCAGGGCGTCGGCATGGAGGTGCTCGCCTCTCGTGAGGCCCCATGCCTTCCTGGCCAGGCCAGGAGGGCATGCAGACCCAGAGATCCAACGTATGGACAAAAAACACGACGGAGGTTCTTCGCAGCTTCTGGCTTCCAGGTGCCCTCGCCGGGCTCCAGGACCGTCAAAAGACGACCCCGTGCTGGAAAAAACCTCGACGTCGGATCTCTGGGGACGTCGCTCTTGGGCCATGGCGCAGGCCTGGGCAGGGCCGGTGCAGGGGAGCGGCCGGCGCCCACAGGAGGCCGAGGCCGACGCCGAGGCTGTGCGGGGCGGCCCCGGCGCCGAGGCCGCCGACGAGCAGGCCTCCAAGAGGCCAGCCGTGGGGGCGCCCGCCACGGCAGCCGAGGGCGCGGCGTGAGGCGAGCCGGCGGCGTCGGCCCGCGTGCGCTGGCGCGGCGTCCGGCCTCGCGCGACTCGGCGCGGGCCCTCGGGCGTTGTGCCGTGTGGGGGCCCAAAGAATATACACCACCACCACGTCGATTGCTCCTCTCTCCTCTTTCAAGCGAGAGGGAGGGGGGGAGGGAGGTGGTGGTGGTGCATATGTTTGGGCCCCCCACCGTGCCCGGGTGGGTAAGACCACGGCAGGCGTTGTGCTCCACTCGCGCGGAGGGCGGCGCCCCAGGCAGCAGGGGCCTCGCCACGCCAAAAACACGCCCTGGGAAGGCGGGAGGGCAGCGTCGTGGCATTTTGAGGAGCGGGCGCGCTGGGCACTCGCCACGGAGATCGTCGGCGTGCGGTCGGTGCTGAGTGTGCGGTGTATTGCAATATTCTTGGCGACGAGCGCGAACCTGACACCTGTTCGAGCAGCATGAACAGGCATGAACACGAAGCGTAGCCTAAGCATCCACGCTCGGAGATCCGAGCGGATCTCCTTGGGTCGTCCGCGCCCGGCGCTCCTGGCGCCTCCGGCATCGCCGCTACAGCGCGCTCCGCGCGCCAGGGAGGGGGGGCCTCCGACAACTCGGTGCTCGTGCTGCCTCCTGCTCCTCCCTCCTCCCCCTCCTCCTCCTCCTCCTCCTCCTCCTCCTTCCTCCTCCTCCTCCTCCTTCCTCGTCCTCCTCCTTCTCCTCACCCTTTTCCTCCTCCCCCTCCTCCTCCTCCTTCCTCCTCCTCCTCTCTCCTCCTCCTCCTTCCTCCTCCTCCTCCTCTCCTCTCCTCCTCCTCCTCCCTCCTCCTCCTCCCCTCCTCCTCCTCCTCCTCCTCCTCCTCCTCCTCCTTCTCAGAAGGAGAATGCCCGGGCCTTCGGAGAAGTTTTCCCCTCCCCTCGACGCCTGCCTGGACGCAGAGAGGACTGGCACGCCCTGCGGGGGGTGGGAAGGGCGCGCGCGCCCACCGCGCTCGGGCACGTGTCCCGTGGCGCGCACCCTCTCCGGGTGACACCCCGGGGGGCACCGCGGCCGCCGCGACGGAGCAGCATATGGGTGCCGCACGGGCTCCCCCGGTGCCTCGGTGCCGGAGTGGAGCTGTGAGAGCTGTGCCGTAATTCCCCCCCCCAGCGGTGCGGTGACCATGCCGTGTGGTGAGTCAGCGGGGATTCGGGGTGACCGCAGGGTTCTGGGGCTTCGGGGGGCGGTTTTGAGGGCCCCTCGGGGGCCTTTTTGGGGCTGTTTTGGGCCTGGGCCTCTTGGGGGCCTCTTGGGGCCTCTTGGGGGCCTCTTGGGCGCCTCTGGGGGCCTCCTGGCGGCATCTGTGGGCGCAAGGCTCGGATTTTCGATTCGTGTTCCCTCTCTTGGGCCCCTTTTGGGGCCGTCTCGGGGCGCCTCTTGAGCCGTCTTGGCGCCCTGTTGGGCCGTCTCCAGCCCAGGTAGATTTCGGAATTTGGTGTCCAGGACTCTTAAGGACTCCGCAGGATTGAATACTGAGGTTCCAGGGATTAGGCACAGGACCTGAGGACCTGCCCGTTCCGTGCCCAGAGGCACGGTGGCGGACTAACGAGCTTCGCTTGTCGGGGTGCAGATTCTGAGGGTGGTTCTTCAGCCATCTATGGTATGCTCGCGTCGTGTCGACCAGCGGACACCACGCCGCGGGCGTTTAACGTTGAACGCCGCCCGACGTTTCGCCGCCCTTTGCTTTGCTTCCTCCTCTTCGTCGTCCTCCTCCTCCTCCTCATTATCGCCCCCCTCGTTATGTTTTCTCTCCTCTTCCTCCTCCTCCTCCTCTTCCTCGTTCTTTCTTTTCCTCCTCCTCCTCCTCCACATCCTCCTCGTTTTTATTTTTCCCCTCTTCCCCATTATGCTTCTTCTCCTCATGCACCTCTTCTTCCTCTTGGCCAGGGTACGCAAGTTGACTTTCCTTGGCTCCGTCGCCGCCACGACGGGCAGTGGCGCGTTTCCATCGCGAAACCGCTGGGGCAACCCCGCGGGCCAGGCCCTGGCCGTCGGGACAACCTCGCAAGCCGCTGGGGCGCGGGAGATGGCCGTTGGAACAGCCGCGCGGGCCTCGAGCGGGGCAACGCCGCGCTCAGGCGGGAGGCAACGCGAAATCCAGGTCTTCGGCGAGCTGTTCCGCTTCAGCCCTGGGGCTCGCCGTTCTGTGGCCGAATTCCAGGAGCGCCTTCGGCAAGGACACCGGCGGCCCGCGTTTCACAGAAACTCGCGCGAGAGCGGCCGCAGGATCAGGTTAGTATGTTCCGCATGCGCGTGGCGCGGGATAACATGATGTAGAGGTGCAGCGCAGCCACCATTGCTCATTCGACAAACCCGTGCCGCCAGCGTCCTCAAAACCTTAACCCTGGCGCAATCGACGGTGATGCCGTTGCGCAACGTTTGGCCCTGCGACAGCGAGGTACGACGCGTGCGTCAGGGTGAACCCGACTGGCGCACGACGCGCGTCCCCGAGCTCTGTCACGTGAGCTCCTGTTCCTTGGGCGTAGACATGAGCAAGCTTCTCGCCCGCGCCTCGGTCTCGCCGTCGTTGCCAGCGCGTTCGGCGCCCTGCAGTAGCAATTCGGCGACCTCCTGGTATATCGGGGGTTCCTTGAAACCGTGCGCGAACATCCAGATTCCTTGCGGTAGTAAGCTGCGGCGACACAGCTGGTTTGGCGCGCACTCCTCGTATTTTTGCTCGTCGCTTGGGTGAAGCTCGAAATGCATGATGTGGCCCGTTGCGTCAGCAAAAGCGCCAATTTGTTCCAACTGCTCCTGACACGACGAGGAACTCCCTCGAGTCTTTTTTTTCGATCGTCCGGCCTGACGAGCCCCGAGCACCACCCCGCTCGGATTCGAACGTGGAGGCGGGGACCCCGCAGGGAAGGGCTCCTGCTACAGATTTCCTCACGTCTCGCTCACAACTCACACTCGGCACGAACGACATGGGTACGGAAAGATCGGGTACAATGCCCAACAGCGATTCCTGTCCATTTTGGACACGAGTCGCTGTCGGCGTCGTTGCGGCCTGTGTACCTTTGAAACAGGAGGCCGCCTGTTTAACAGCGGCCGCTGTCGGTTTGGGACAACATGTGTTGTTGGGCATTGTGCCAATTTTTCCGTACCTATTTCAGGCGTCCAAACACACGCCAGGCTCCCGCCAGAGTTCCTCCGCAACCAGGCCCGCCGAACCCACAAATGACGACAACTACATGATTTGGACGGCCCCGTTCGGGTTCCAACGTGGAAGTAGCGACTGAGGGGTCCTGTTCGGGACTTGCCCAAAAGTTACGAGAGTGACGGGATGCGGATGACCCCGCGCGGATTCCAACGTGGAGGTGGGGACACATAGGGAAAAGGCTCCCGGTGGACAATTCTTCGTGATCCATTCATTGACGAGGCTCCCGCTCGAGACTTCCTCCAGGTTCAAGCTTGGGGAATTTAGAAGTGACGACGGTAGCAAGGTTTGGATGACACTGCTTGGTTTCCAACATGGTGGAGGGGGCCCCATGGGGAGGGGCTCCCGATCGTGACATATTCGCGATTCACTCATTTCTGAGGCTGCCGTTCGAGACGTCCTCAAGATTCAGGCCTGTGAAACTCAAAAGTGTTCTTGCCATTGCGCTGCTCTGCCACGAACTTTATTCGCAGTCTTCCTGCCTCTGGGATGGGCCCAACAGCCGACCAACACGACATTGAACGAAATGTTGGCCGACGCGCATACGCCAGCGTGCCGACGTGGAAGCATACGCCCCCGCAAAACAAGAAAAGACGAGTGCATGATACTGGTGCCCTCGAAGGTCGGTTATCCAAACAGACTGAGCACGCTTTTGGCATCAGCGTCCAGCCAAACAGAATTTCGCTTGGGGCGCCAAGGGCCAAACAGTGACGGCAATTATGCGATTTTGATGACCCCGCTCGTGTTCCAACATTGAGGTGGGGACCCCATAGGGATTGGCTGGCTCCCGCTCGAAAGGAGCCCAACATACACGACAGTAGCCAGGTTTGAATGACTTCGATCGGATTCAAACATGGAAGTGGGGACCCCGTATGGAGGAGCTCCCGCTCGATACTTCCTCCGGATTCACTTACTGACGAGGCTCCCGCTCGAGACTTCCTCCAGATTCGAGCCTGGGGAGCCCAACAGTGACAACAGTGGAATGTTTTGGACGACCCCGCTCGGTTTCCAACATGGGGGTGGGAACCCCATAGGGAGGGCTCCAGCTCGAGACTTCCTCACAATTCACCCGCTGACGAGTCTCCCGCTCAAGACTTCCTCTAGAGTCGGGCCTGGGGAAGCCAACAACAACAACATTGACAGGATTTGGTTGACCCCGCTCGGACTCCAATGTGGAGGTGGGGGCCCCATAAGGAGGGGCCCAAAGTGACGATGACGACAGTTACAGTTTGTGGATGACCCCGCTCGGATTCCGCCCGAGACTTCCTCGCTAGCCACACACACACGAGGGTCCCGCTCGAGAATCCTTCAAAGTTAGTGTCTGTGTTGGTGAGTGAATGAGCGAGTTAGTGTGGATGTGCGAACGTGTGAATGATGATGATGCTGCTTCTGCCGATGATGCTGCTGCTGATGATGATGATGATGAGGATGATGATGATGATGATGATGATGATGATGATGAAGGTGATGATGACGATGATGATGATGGTGATGGTGATGGTGGTGGTGATGGTGATGGTGATGATGATGATGCTGATGCTGCTGCTGATGATGATGATGATTCTGATGATTATGATGATGATGATGATGATGATGATGATGATGATGTTGGTGACGGTGGTGGTGGTGGTGGTGGTGGTGATGATGATGATGATGATGATGATGATGATGTTGTTGTTGTTGTTGTTGTTGTTGTTGTTGTTGTTGTTGTTGGTGTTGTTGTTGTTGTTGTTGTTGTTGTTGTGGTTGTTGTTGTTGTTGTTGTTGTTGTTGTTGTTGTTGATGTTGTTTTTGTTGTTGTTGTTGTTGTTGTTG